AAGGATAAGGATAAGGGATGAGGAATGGTGTAGCTGGCGGCGAGTTGGCGAGCAGAGCTGATGTGGTAAGATAAGTGTGGACCCACCCTGATGAGCTGTTGTGTGGGCCCCGCCCTAATGCTGCTGCCGGGCGGTTCGCGTGTCTCTCAGTGCTGCTGCCGTGAGGTGCGTGCTGCTGTCTAGTGCTGCTGCCGTGCGGTGCGTGCTGCTGTGCAGCGCTGCCGGGCGGTGCAGCCTGCTGTGCAGCGCTGCCGGGCGGTGCAGCCTGCTGTGCGTGCTGCTGCCTATGACTGCGCCGCGGTGCGCTGCCGGGCGGTGTGTCCATAACACACACAACCACCTACAAGACATCATAACTCAAGGAAATTCCTGGATCTCAACTGAGAACAAAGAACAGAAGCTTGGAGACCCTTAGTCGCAGCCACCCACGAGATGAGCTTGCTGAAAGCAAAGGCAATCAAGCAATCTATATTAGAAGTCTTGTTCTGAAAGATTCTTCTGTTTCTTTCAGTTCAAACTGTGCATAAAATGGCTGTGGGCAGGACACTCCAAATGCACCTCACCAACTTGGAACCACCCTTAAGTTCAGAAGGCCTTTGTTGGATAGAGAGGTTGATGAATGCATTGCTTTGTTGGAGAAGCTAGAGGGGGTGAAAGTTTCAGATCAGTCAAGGGATGAACTATGCTGGAAAGAATGCTTAAATGGGAAATTTGCTGTGAAATCCTTTTTTTGATGAATAACAAAAACTAATTTATTATAATAAGCTGTTTGTATTTGGGAAAGTTAAAGAGAATTTATCTCTCCCCTTATCCCCTTTGTACAATTTCTTTATTATTATAATTTTCTGTGAAATCCTGCCACCTTTGCTCTTTGTAGGGACCATTCAAAATCAAATCAAGCTGAAGGTGTGGGGGTGAATCTGGTTCCCCCAGGGGTGAAGCCTTTGCATGGCTTGTGGCCATGGGTAGCATTTTGACTGTGAACCACCTGAAATTCAGGGGCTTCAATATGGCAAATGTGTGCTTCTTTTGCAAAGAGAAGGAGGAAACTGTTTACTGCTATGTTCGGGGTAAGAGACTTTCAACCAAGAACACCTGCAGAGATTTTTTTTTCTTCTTGGCCATAGATAAGAGGAAGCAAGAAAGCAAGAGTGATTTGGAATTGCATCCCTTTTGCAATATGCTGGAACATCTTGAAGGAAAGAAATAAAAGAATTTTTGAAGACAAAACTTGGACATTGGACAGGATAGTGGTGGTTGTAAGCAGATTGGTTGCAGATTGGGTTTTGATATTACCAGAATTCAGACAAGTCACCAAGGAGGATCTCAAGGATAAGCTTGGGGAAATGTTGGGGTTTCAAATTTGTATTTTGGGTGATACCTTATAACCTGTTAGGTTGTATATCATTTTTCTTTTATAATGAAATTTTATTTTTACCATCAAAAAAAGAAATTTCAAAAGCAAGAATATCTCTACAGATTCTGTTTTTCAGAAAATTTTGGGAAAGATGTTCCCATGGTTTCCTAATCACAAGCTTTTTTAAGAATATAGGTTTGAATTCCTTTTTTATACATGGAAATATTTTTGTGAAGTAGGGTGGAGGTATAGTGCTACCAGGAAGCTTTTTGAACAGTCCTTGTGTACATCATCTTGTTGTACATGTTGATTTTCTTATCAATATAATCACTCTTTAACTTCTTTAAAAAGGGTAATAGCCTTGAACCTTGGATAAGATTGAAGCATCGGACAATTATATAAACCAATCGCATTAAAGCAAAGGAACTAAAATTCTTTGCAGTGGTATAAACCATGCTGCCTGCAGCATGCCCTTTTTTCCTCGATGTCAACTACCCTTATATCTGTTATATTACACTTGTTTGAGTATAACTGATCAGGTAATAATCTGAATTCCCCTGAATTGTATAATAAAGATATAATCATCCCAAAGTAAATAATAACTAGCAATTGTGGTCTTTGGAGATATTAAAAATGGATCATATAGTTTTATTTTAKAAGGATATTATGACTATTCAAGATTAATTTTGGAATGGGCCATATACCAAAAGTAGGGGGAATGGTCAATTTTTTCTAGAAAAGTTGAGATTGGAGAAAAATAAAACTTGATGGAGTACCATCCTTGGACTCAAGACAGAATTGCCCCTCCTCCCTCTCTAACTGAAGGCAACCATTTTATTGGTGAGTATATCACCAAATACCAAAAAAAAAAAAAGAATTTTATTGATTTAAAGATAAAGCAGTACAACAAGAGGTTGCATCTTTTCATTACACATATGAAGTGTGAGCATAGCCCCTGCTATCCCACCCCAATTGTACAACTGAACCGAATACAGCTAATGTCTAGTAACCCTTGCTTCACTAAACCATCAGCCAAGCTATTGGCTGATCTTTGAACCCACACTGTATTACTATTTGCATATGTCTTAATATCCATTTAAACCTTCTGATTTCATTTCTATAACTCCATTTAGCTTTACTGCCATCCAACAACCAGCTAATAAATATCTAAGATTACTGAGGAGTCTTTCCTTCTCATGTCAGCAGTTCACATCTTGTATTTGGGTTCAATTTTGATGATTCAGTGCAGTTTAGATCTTGGGTAGCAGCAGTTCAGTTTGGATTTTGGAGACATATTATTTAATTGCAGGACAGAGCATAATCTTAATGTGGTCAGAATCACAGTTTTGTAAAAAAAAAAAAAAAACTCAGAGCATGAGTTTTCTCTATTAAAAAAACAATCTTGTGTGTCTAGATTTGGAGATTCATGGAAGATCACACGAGGATTTAAAAAAAAAAAAAAAACTACTCAGTACAACAGAGCTTCCTTAAACGGGTTAAGGCACTAAATTGCAGATCCCCTATTCTCAGCATTGATGCTCTCCTGGGCATCATCCAAACCACTGATATTGGACCCACCATTCTCACATATCAGAGCTCCCTTATGCATCTGTTAAGTCTCTGATCTTAGGAATCATAACTAAATGTTTGTGGATTGTAAAGCCTTCAGAATGCATTAATACAGTCATGATAATAAGATATAGCATCCAACTTAAGATGTATCAAATGGTGGATCCCAGCTCCCTCACATGCCATAAATATATTCTGTTCCAAAGTTTTTTTAGGGTAATTATTCTGTTCCAGTAATCTATATGTTAATATTCCTCGTTATTAATTAGGAGAAGGAAGTACATGATTTACCCATTTATCTGGTTTGTTGTTGTATTCCGAGCAAAAATAACTAACACATCTGCGAAGGTACTGTTTCCAATCCATCGCTTTCGGCCATTAAGCATCCATCCCCCTGACACCTGTTCCTCTCAATTCCAGTGAGAATATTGAAGATGCCAAGAACTTTGAACATTGAATGTGATATAAACTAGTTCATACAGATTTTTTTTGTAAAAAAAAGAAAAAAAATAATGGAGAGATATACTTTTGATGCTGTTGTTTTCAAAGAACTTGCATCACTTCCAATGTCAGGCTCTGTCAAACCCTAAGGTGGAAATAAATTGATTACAGATTATACATAAATAAATAAATAACATTGCCCAGAAGTCATATAAAATCAGCTTACCCAACAAGCTACAGTCTGTAACTGTGCCAATGAAGGTAGAAATTTCTGCTTTTGTTCCTCTGACCCACAAAGTGCTATTCTTGACAGTTACAAGATGTTATACAGAGTCATTGTACCTTAACAAGCATCTAAGGTGGTGTTTGATAATTCCCAATGGAATATTTCTGGTGTTCCAGAAACAGAAAAATAACCATATTTCTGCTCCTCGGAACAATACATAACATTCCCACAGAAAATTACCAAGTCCTGCCTTAACTTACAAGTTTATACATCGAGGGAAAAACAAAAATAACCACCAGTTAGACTTTACCAATTGTGAGCATTGCCAAAGAAGAATGCACCAAAATAAAGGTAGAACAGCTTCCATCAACTCGGGCAATTTCTGATAAAGCAACAGCACTTCCAGCAATAGAGAGACCTGGGCACCCATAGCCCTAATTGCCAGAAACCATTAAGTAATTTATCTACAACTTTTAACATAAGAAACCAAAATATGCAAATGAATTGATATACCTTAATAGTGCCACCAGCAACACCCAGAGCACCAAGCTTTGGTATAACATGAAAGGGAAACTCTGCCTTCTCCCAGTACTAAAGAACCCAACTTGGAATATAAATATACTTGTATAGAGATGCTCAAGCACAGAATAACAGTAAGGCATATTTAAATGGAAACAACTAATTTGAAAGAATTTTTTCTGACCAAAGCAAAAAAAGAAAAAAGAAACTAGTAGTGGTAATCTTATAGCTAACCTTGTATTGGAGTTCTGCTCAATTAATAATAGCTCTCCATACTTCAAACCTATTAATAATAAGGGTTGTTTATGAAAGGTCTATTTTGAAGATATGCCAAGGCTTTTTGGGTTGAAAAGTTTTTCCATAAATAAGGGTGGAGAGAGGAATATGGAGACTCCTCTTCAGCTTCAATCTAAGTCACCACATGGAAAAATGCCCAAGTCATTTAGAAAAGCTCAATAAATGACCCAAGTAGCAAACCTATCCCCATCTAATGATGATGATGATGATGATGACAATAATAATAAATAATAATAATAATAATAATAATAATAATAATAATAACAGAAATAAGAATAAGAATGAATAATAATGCACTTTAATGATGGAACAAAATGGATTGATACCTCAGTCATTATTGGAGCTACATCCTTTTCCATAACCTCTCTGACTTTTCTACGGAGGGTCTGCTCCTCAAGATTCAACAGATCATCAAACTGGTAATAGTCTGAAGCTGCAATTTTGAAAAAACAACAGTTTTAAAACAAGGGAAGAACCAGATGAAACAATAGGGGTGTCAATGAGAGGCACAGCTAGGTTGTGCAATACACTATATACAGATATATGTGCCTTTCATATGGATAAATATAAGGGGTAAGGCTGCATATGTCTGTCCCTCCCCAGACCCTGCATGGTGGGAACCTCATGCACTGGGCTGCCCTTTTATATAGATGAATATCAGGTAATTATAGCATAATAGTATCTACGCTTGCCACTAACATTAATTTTCATCAAGAAGTAACTGTAATTGTAATATTTTCATTAAGAAGTAATTATGTGTGTACAAGTAAGTTTAATAAGGGGTAGCAATTTTTACCACAGCAAGCAACAAGGGCCAGGCTGTGCCAGTATTCATGCCCATTGGCCAATGTTCCTTGTGCTCCATGTTGTATTTGAAACAACAATAAAGTATAGATATGTCTCTCAAGATTGTATGTCACAAGTTAGATGCAATAGAAGTTTTCTACTGCTCCAAGCTTGCTGAATAAATATGGACTTCAATATTTTTAACTTGATAATTAAGGGGGTATTCTACAATGTGATTTTTTTTTTGTTGCCAGTTTCAAAAACAAATCACAACCATCTAGTTTAAAAGCAGGTTGTTTTTTCAAAACAAAAAAAAAAAAAAACATGTTCTTGGTTGTGTATGTGTTTTTTGTTTTCAAAATTGAAACCAAAAACATGTTCTTGAATTTCTGGTTTCAAAAACACATTTTCACCTGGTTATTTCATGTTCCATAAACCATATAATTTTTATACTACAAAATTTGTTTTTATTTTAAAAACCATTATTTTGATGGTTCCAAAAATATGTATTGTTTTTTTAAACAAAACCAACGTGTTTTTCTCTTGGAAAACAAAAACAAAGTTCAAGAACTTTTTTTTTTTGCTAGTGTGGTGTTTTCGAAAACAAATGAAAACAAAAACATTGATGTTGTATAACACCCCCTAAGAGGAACATAATGAGGTAAAATTGCAACTCCATAATGGATACCCATGCTCCAAAAGTTTTTGTCATGGAAACGTAATTTGCAGTGACTTTTTTGTTAGTAAAAACAACTCATAGTGATTATGAAAATGTTAACAAACAAAAAAAGGCATGGTGATCATATTGATATCTCTACCATTCACAATTGCAATAAATCTTACCATTAGGGGGAAATACAGATGCTGGAGTTGCCTGCGGAAATGCAACAGAAACGTCCAAGGCAGGTAATCCAAAGTATGAGCTCTTGTAATTCTTGGAAATATCATCTATCCAAAAAGGAATAGTTCTAGTTACAAGCAGCACAAAAATTCTCTAACACTAGAAATCGAGATTTTGTTATGCCATGGGAAGCAACGGCAACTTCTAGAGTAGAAGTTAATAAATATAAAAACCAAATAAGAATTAAAGCAACATGCATGGGAAAAGAAATAATTAGAAAAAAGAATGCCACTTTGAATTAGAATCTTGAGGAAGAACATAATGAAAAAAGTCAATACAGAAAAACCCTGAGAAACAAATCCTATTTGTATCATCACGACTGTCTCTCTACTACCCACAAAAAAAAGGTCGTCTCACTACCGGTACAAAGAAAACAAAAAATACAAAATTATTGTGAACTTGATAAAATTATCTACTCGTAAGGAGAAAATATTAAACTTTAATTTCAAGGGATCCGCATATTTTCTATTTATATTTATATATCAGGTGAAATCATGACAAATTATTTCCCAGTAGAAAATACTTCAGTCACCAATAAAAGCTCTGTTTTCTGGATCTTTTATATATTGAATTGCGGGCCAGCAGATAGAACCTGGAAAGTGAGCATATTCAGTCGATAGCCAACCAAGCATTGAAGGTCTAATCTAGAATACTTGTGTTTTCGGATATGGAAAGTAAGAAAACAATTGGGGTGAACGGCAACGATTTGGTTGAAAAAATCCAGTCCGTTCTAATCAAAGAGAACTGTTACAGGAAACTAAGTTTTGGTTGATTAACATTCCAGCAGTAAATCCATTTTCTTCTTTTTTATGTGCTGACTCCATTGATTTGATCTCTTGGATATTTCCGAACCTCCAAGAGCGTGTCTTCCATAAACGTTTAATTAAGAACATCAAACTTCAAAATAAAAACCAAAATTGACAATTAACTAACAAATAAGTTAGAAAGCGGATTAAATTTTCGTAATAATGAATACGAAACTATGATTAATTTGGTTACGGAGCTCATCGACCTACTCTGATAGATCATTTGGAATAAATTCAATCTCAACGCCAACCGAAAAAAAAAGGAGGTTGCAGAAGGAGCCTAAACTGTATTGGAAGCAAATGATACAGCAAGTTATCTGTGTTTATTGTAACATTAATAAAAAATAAACAAATAAACAGAATCCTGCAGTAGTGAGAATGTGAGATATGCACCTTGATTCTGAGATGACGAAGAAACAGTCATGGTTAGAACTTATGAAGCTCGACCCCCGCCTCAAGTTTGTTTTGATTTTGGAGGAGAAAGAGGAGGAAAAGGACGAATGGAGAAGTAGAGAGACGAAGGCAGAACTTACGCTCATCGTGTCTGGCCTTTGACTTAAAACATCAGAGCATTAGCCCGAATAGAAAAATGTGGCTGTTCACCATCAACAGCCTAGCTGTGTAAAGGGCTCTTTTCACGTGACACGTCAGTCAACATGAACCCCATCTCCATGTGATAATGCGTATTGGTGCAAGTGTGCAAAGTGCAATTCGGGCGGGTTGGATTTGGCTTGACGCTTGACGCTTGACGCTTGAGGCACAGGATCAACCTAAATCCAATCGTAGGATTCAAACATCAGTCCCCAGTTCAGGCCTGGCCTAATCCAATGTCAACCCAAGCTTAATCCAACATAATTACTCAGTTTCAGTCAGGTTTTAACTCAAGTAAGCTTAAAACGGACTTCGGTGGGGTTTGAAATATATATATGTTTTATAAATTCGCTTTTATTGGATATATAATTAAAAATATATTTTTATATAAATAAAATATATAATATTTGTTTGGGCAAACATGGATAGAGTTAAACCAAGACCTTAACCCAGGTGCAACCGGAATCGGAATCGGAATGATCTATTCCCTTAGTCTATTTGATTYAGATAGAATGGGAAAAAAATGGAATCAGCAGGAATGGGATTTCATTTCTAATAGAGAGGCAGGGAATGGCTATTCCAGCAAGAATGAGAATGGAATTCTAATTTAACTCAATCAAATAGTCAGAATTAGAATAGTCCATTCCGATTCTGAATTCTTATTMCTACAACCAAACGGGGCCTTAATAAAGCGAGAGATTGTGACGGTCAAAATAATTGAAGCAGTTGGTTTTAGGTGAATCCGGATCTCCTGTTCATGAGAATCTTGCTCACGTCTATCTACAATACACTACCCCTGTGAATTAGAAATATTTCTCCTGCATAATACTATGTAGAGGATGAAATGTTCTCCRTATATGACTGAGATGATCCGGACTCGTTTTAGATATATGTGCCTATTGTCCAAACTTAATGGAAATTTTGTGACTGTCTAATGGTAACCGATAAAGTCTTCCGCTGGGATAGGCTACTGCCGTTTTGTAGCCTTAACTTACAAGGTTCTTCCCGCATGAGTGACACAGACTCCTTTTTAACGGTATCCATTATTGGGTGAACTAACGACACTGACAGTTCTATTGAGACTCTGAATCTCCTGCCTACATAAATTTTATTCACGTTTATCTATAATACACTATTCTGTGCATAATATTATGTAGGAAGATAGATATTTTCCATGTGTGCAAGTGATCTTATGTAGGTGGACGTGGATTGAATTCTTGCGGGCAGGAGATCTTAACTCTTCTATTGACTGCCCAGGTTGTTAAGCATTACTAAGTCTGCAATTTGAGCTRTGTTAGTCCGAATCCAATCCCCAAAAAACGGGTTGAAGTTCGGGCTATGGAAAAGTAGAAAATTGACAAGCCTTGGCCAACCAGAATCCAACCCAACTTCATATTTATATGTATTTTTTAATACTTCATGTTTATATCATAAATATTATATAAATAATTAYTATATATATAGTAATATGTGTGTGCCCGGACACAAATATGCATCTGTAAAACTTGATAACTATGTCCACATATAATAATGTTAAAATTCATTATTAAAATTGAATAAATCTCAACCTTTGAATTTGGGAGATAAGAGTATTGCCAAAATGAAGTAGAGGACTCGGGCCAACTCCAGCCCAATCCAAAAATTTTGGGTTGGGTTGGGGGCTCCACAGCTCAGGTTGGGTTAGGATTGACCTCAACCCAACCTAATTCGACCCAATTTGCACCCCTGTTAAACATGGACATATTCAAGTAAGCCTATAATGAAAAAACTTTGGATGTGTAGAGGGGGGARGTCTAAGGTAATTGGGGTAATGTTTTAAACATCGATTCGAAATGAAACTATTTTGATCATCAATTTTTAGATTAATGATTCAACTATCTAGTTTGAATGAATGATTTATTACAATTTTAAAAGTAAAATATAAAAAAATAATAATTAAAATAAAAAAGAGACTAAAAATCGTTGTTCARGTTGAATGAATCAACTGTTACATATGTTATTCAATAAAAGACCAAGGGTGAAATGTGAAATGTGAAATGAAATTGATTGCCTGAACAGTCTTGAAGTCAAATGGTCCAACTTTTCGAATCAAATGATGGTTCAAAAAGCATGGATCGGGGGGTTTACTGTACAAGATACATTACCCCACTACTCAACCCTTTGATTGTACTTTTCAACTAAACGAACATTAATTGTAAATTTGTAATTACTCTTTTACCCACGAGCCCACACCCATGATGCTAACCTAATATATGTTATTCAATATTCCAAACAGCCAAGGTTTTGTCGCTGTTCTCCTTGCATGATGCATTATTTCACATTATCCCCTTAACATTATTGGTGCTAAATGCACGGCTGGATCAAAATCCCTTTCGACAGTTCAGGTTGTACGATATGGACAGCCAAAGCAATCTGGATAGAGCTGATCTAAACTGTGTCAAGACTTGTGAATTATAAATTAATAAAATTAAAAAACGGCTTCACGATGTTTGAAATTTCTTTAGATCGCAATTGGCAAATAATATATATTTCAAGGAAGATTCCCCATTTTGATAAGTTGCCTTTATCTGCTAGAAATATTTGTTTTTTTTTTCTATTTTTCCTTTTTTTGTAAATAARCAAACTTCATTAAATAGTAGCAATAATAAAAAAGCTCAAATGGAACAAATAATACAATACGGATAAGTATGATACAATAGGAGCATGACACGTGAAGATTAATATATATATTTATTATGAACCACGAAGACTCGCGTGTCGTTTCTGCTGATTGATTTTTGTTTTTTTGGAATCGATTAACAAGTACGGAAACCTTTAAAAGAGAGAAGGCTCTTTTTGACGGTGATAATAAAGCCACGTTTCCGATTAGAAAGAATCTTAATGGAAATTATACGTACGCCACCGTATTGGCCCGATGTCCGATGGAGTCCGGGTTCTCTGCATAATATTATGCAGAGGATGAAATATTCTCGATATGTGACTATAATAAACGTGGGCAAGAGATCCGGACTCTGCGTGATGGTCTCTTCAAGTTGGTTGGATTGGGCTTGGGCGTGGTCCAACACTCTCCAAATTTGAAATTTTAATGGAAACTACGTCACTGTTTGCGTCACAATTAACACCAGCAGGTGACGAAAGCAGGCAACAGTTGACAACTGTCGAGAGCACTTCTGAAAGATCTGAACTCTTATTTTGTATGCATCAGGCATAATTAGTTAAATTCTCCCTCTCGTTTTGGATTTTTTTATATTTTTCTCATATTATATTTTTGTGGGTTCGACTATGATATCCGAAAAACACACAACCAATCAACTGACATCATAAATGACATGACCAATAAGGTGGTGTTGATCAAAATTCATGGGTTTTATTGGTCAAGGGTCATAATTTATAGGCACAAAGTACAGTTGGATTATGTATCAGCTTGGAATTGATGTTAATTCATGGGAGCGCATTGATGCATAAGGTGGGAGTAATTGACCTTTTGAAATATTGTAAATTTACAGTGGAAATCAAAATTCTACAATGGGTTTGTACATACTTCTCTATAATTTTTATGAGCAAGTATTATTGTAAGAGTCATCAGAGTGTTGTCTTAGTAGGGTAAATTGGTCGAATTGGAATCTGTTCTTCACACTAACCTCACAGTCACAACCCACCATGTATTGGAAACATGTCCCTATAAAAATGTTTCCGATGTACAGCCAGTACATGTTGTGAGGTCGGCGCTATGTGAAGGCAGATCCAGACTCAGATTAGTCACCAATAAGTTGACCATAATATCTGTATTTATTTGTTGTTATGTTGGGTCTCACTATAGATGAGGATATTTGAAAGTAATTCCCTCTTGTGAGGTGGGTAAGCAATCTATCTACATTATAAGTGATCTCTTTATTCCGATAACTAATAGMATACAAGAACAGTGGAATTTTGCTTATACAAACAAGTTTTACCTAAAAAATACTTGCATGGATAAATAACAATGAATGAAACCATACTATTTCTTATGCGAGTTTCCCTATATTCTGTTTTTCTCCTCATAGTACAGGTAAATTTACTCACTGGTCACTACATTTTACAATCTCCCTCGCTATATATCGTCCATGTAGAAATATTTTAAGTAATCTCAGTCATACAAGTATGTATAAAAAAATCTAAAAAAAAAAAAGTCTTGTAGGTGTTAGAAAAATTTAAATTATTCTCAATCATATAAGAAATACATAAAAATATCTAAAAAAACATAAGCCACATATAGTAGTGCCTTGGATAAAGCCTAAGATTTAGGCTATCAAAAATGTCTCTTGAAATTAATTAATTAATATTAACAATCTAAGGCTGCATTTGACATTCCTTATTTTAAGGACTTATATCTTTTTTGTAGTTAAAATGCCCTTATGAACACTGAATTTTTAATCGCAAAAAGAAGACAAATCCTTAAAATAAGGAATGCCAAATGCAGGCTAAATGATGTACAAAGATTTCATATAATCTCAACTATACAAGTTATGCATGAAAGGCCTCTTAAAATTAATTAAAAAATCTCAACCATACAAATGACGTATCAAATTTTCATATAATCTAGTCCATCTAAACAATGTAATAAGATTTCATCCCATGCAAATGATGTATCAAATCAATCCAAGGATCCAAACCATCAAAATAAGGTCTCATTATCAGTGAATCAATCCTAACCATCCTAGTAATTTACCGAGATTTCAACAAATTAAGACCATCCAAATACCAAATCAACCAAAAAATTGAGACCATTAAAGTAGTCTCATAAGTAGTGGATTAATATCATTCATCCAAGTGATACTGATACTCTAGCCATAATCTAACAATTACAAAATTAAGTTGATACATCATTTGAATGGTTTTTATGGTGGATTTTATGCATTCTTTTATATGCCATTTATGAAATCTGAATTTCTTTTTAGAAAAGATCACGCATTAATTGCATGGCTTAGATCAGTTTAGATATTGGTACAGACTTAATTGGCCAGCTACCTATTAATCCATTACTTTCAATAGACCATTTTGCATGGCTCAAAATGGTTGAGATTAATTCATTGATCTTAAGAGATGATTTTGATGGCGGCCCATATCTTTAGGTTGACTTGGTACGTTACATGATCTAAATCCGATACAACAGGGCAAAACACTTTGATTTATACAAGGACACCACATTGATGGACCATATTTTTAGTTTCATCTACGATTCCATTTCCATGGCCTAGATTAATTTAAATCGTTAAACTTTACTTGGATTTTCAAGATCAATTCTCCAATTTAATGGTTTAGATCTTTACTTAGAATAACATGAATGAAAATATTTTGTTAATAGTATTAATTGTATGGGGTAAAATTTCCTTATAAAGAAAATGTCATTTTAGGATTTTTAAAGTATCTGAAAAAGGCATATGGGCATATTCYATCCATTTAAAGCTAACGAAATTGATTTATGTCCTAATGAGGTCAAAGCTTGAGAGAGAATCTCTCTCTCGCACACCCACAAAGTGTAGGGAGTAAAGTAATAGATTCCCCAAACTATGGAGATGTGTGGAATTGAGATTGCGTAGATGATTACTTTTTTTCTTTTTTTTAAGGCTTTTTTTTTTCTTTTTGATATTTGGAGATACACACCACACTAATGACACTCTCCAAAGTTGTGGTTGTAGAAATTAAAACAAAATATATTCTTTCCTTATAGTGTATGTGAAAAGATTTTATATGAAAAACTAATAAAAACGAGTAAAAAAAAGCGTTTCCAAACTGTGGAGGTGCGAGGTATCAATCTTCGTACCTCTTGCATGCTAAGGGAGCACTTTACCATCTCACCTACATCCCCAATGTGTTATAATAAGTTCCGAATAAACTATATACAGATTTTAATAGTCGAACTACGATACGTAAAAACTCTTGATTAAACCACGAAACAAATTTGGTCATTTAAAATATTACTAGATTCCATATAATATAGGAGTTACTTGTGATGTAAATGCAAATATACACTCTACAAATCATGACACCTCCAGCTTAGGTGCATGCAAAGTGAGACAGGGGTTTTACTTTATTTTACATTCTTTGGAGGTCGCGTTCTGTGCACCCGCGAATGGCTGATCGACATGTTGATCAAGCCAACATTAACGTGCGTTTGAGCGTCAATGTGGTCTAGTCCGGTCGAGTACCCAAGCAAAACCCCCATTTTGGTTTTCTTTGAATTCCTTCTTCCTTTCATACAACAACCCTTGTCCATCGACGGCAACAAAGCTCCGGCAGCAATACATCCTTCGACAAAAGGGGTGGGGTGTTAAACCTCATTGTTCAAAGTTCTTCYATGATTTCCCTTGGAGAGCTCCTTCCACCGAACCCTACCCATACACCGAATCCTTCCAAGATCGGTGACGACAAAGAGAACCCCTATTCTTCTTCTCCTCTTCATTCTTCCTCTTCTCTTTCCCTGGAGAGCTCCGGCGGTGACAAGAAGAGCACAACATCCATCTGAAAGGAGGACCGGCGACCACAGCATCCTTGGAAGGAGGACCAACGATCACAAGGAACAGGTCTGATCTAAAGGATGAACAGGTATGACTAGCGACCACAGCTACTCCTAGGTTCCTCTATAAGACTTGATAATGACAAAGTTAGGTATCATCTAAACCAATATCAAGGTAACATCTTAAATCACTTAGATTTATTAATGAGGAATCTTACTCTTCCAAGAACAACTAGTATCATTTCAGTTGCTTTGTTTTTCTAATAAAATTCCATTAATTTCTCTCAAAAAATACAACCCATTAATAAATCATACGGGGTTGTTTGCTGTATTTACCTTTGCTTAATGCTGACTATTGAACAAGCACATTTTAATACTTTGTTGCTCAATTTGTGAGAATTAACTGGGGGTTGTAATACAGGTGGTGTAATTCTTTTTCTCTTTTTTTTTTTTCTTACAGCAAAGTAACAGTTCATGTGAAGAATGATATATCGCCGCTGGAGCTCTGTCGCCATCGGTTCACGGCCGGCACTCCGTCGCCACCAATGAGTAAGGGTTTCTCTGTTGTATGGGTAGGGTTCGGTGGAGAGAAAAGGACGAAAGAACTGAAAGAGTCGAAAAACAGAAAAAAAAAATGGGCTTTTTTATTGAACACTCGACTGATTCATGTTCATGCGAACAGGTTCACTTCCTCATGAACCAGATCAGATCGCGTTAACGCACGTTTGAATGTTAACATTAGCCTGATCAACGTATCGATACGCTATTCATGTGTGCATTGGACGAGTGTACCCACGGGTGCACAGAACGCACTCTAACAATGATGTACAACATGGGTGTTTCCGTCGTCGGAAGAAGGGCATGAATTTACTTCATTAAAATCGAAGTAATTTTTTCACCTCAAGATTGAAGCAAACTCTGACAAGTTTGCAATGGTGATCTGATTGGGGAGATGGTAAAGTGTTGTTACGTTGTTGAGTTTTAGGTTGTTCAATATAAATTTGTATGAGAGATTTTTTTTTTGTTACCTTAAATGTTTTGAAAATGTTTTTAATTGATTAATACAAATATCTATTTCTGCTTAAAATGTTAAATTGATGTTTCTTAGATACATGCATTCACTCATATATGATGTATCAACAGATTTATAAATTTGTATTGATCGATCCAAAAAACATAAATACCACTGTTCCAAACACCCCATTGGGTGTTCTCATCGAAAACCCTTTTGGGAGGACTGAAGTTTTGACCAATATGCTTTCACTGGGAGCCCATTTGGGAGGGCTTCAGCTTTGATTGAATTGCATTAAATAAGCTACTAAAACTAGCTTCAGCTGAAAGTTTTTTAGCTCAAAAGAAGTGTATTTGGGCTTTTTGGGCTTTCCACAAACATAATTTTTAAACTTTTAATGTGGGCCTATCCTACAGAGCCAGAAGCTGCTGGACTGCTGCATGAAAGCCCTCTTAAACAGGCAGTCAGGCACTAAGCTGTTCTGAAAAATGCTAATAAGAAGCTTCATTGGAAAACCAATGTTTTTGATTGATCAACATCATATTTAGGCTTTATATATTTTTCACCAAATATAAAACTTATATGCAGTTTATGTAAGGCTCACCTTACAAAGCTAGAAGCCGCTGTGTCAAAGCGCTTCCAAACAGGCAATGAGTGAACCGGGGACACCCTATTGTGTCATCCATTTGATTAGCATGAAGCCACTGATAAATCAGGCTCTGTTCCGAAGGAGTATAAATACAAATATGTACAATACAATTATATACAAAATAATACAAAACACAAGGGAATGGTTCTCCTTTGCTGCTAGAAGTTGCAGCGACAACAGTTAATTAGCCAAAGTGGTCGTGAAAAAACAGGGGAAGGGAGTAGGGAAGAGAGAGGGAGTGAGAGAGAATGACTGAATGAGAGGAATTTGTAGGAAAGAGAGAGAGAGAGAGAGAGAGAGAGAGAGAGAGAGGTTGCCACCGCTTTTTAGTGTCTAGAGGTAGAAGATGAATAGTGTCGAGAGAGATCAAACGGAGGGAGATGAATAGTGGCGTTCGAAGGATGTGAAGTTAAGAAAGGACAATTTGATCAAAAAAAGTATTTTTTTTTGTCCTATTCACTGTTTTTTGCAATTTTTTAAACATATTTGATTTTGCCAATTCATCAAACTTTTTTTAATTCCTTTTTAATAAAAGATAAATTAAATAAATTAATTACAAACTATAGGAGGTATCTTAGTAAAACATATATGACTTTTTTTTGGGAAAATTCCTGATTGTACCCTGTACTTTGGCTCGAGTGACAATTTGTTCCCTGAACTTTAAAATGCGACAATTCATAATCAGTACCCAAACTTTCAAAATGTGATAACCCAATACCAAAACTTTCAAAATGTGACAACCCAGTACTTGTCGTTAATCAACTGTTAAGTGACATTTGAAAAGTCAAAAATGCCCTAAAAATGCCATCTAATTCTCTTTATCAACTATCCAAATCAAGGTTCAAAATATTGATACGCCTGATACGTCAATAGGGGCGTATTGGGTGAATCAATACCTTTTTTTGTTTTGTTTTTGTTTTGTTTTTTTTTTTTTTTTTTTTTCTGAAATCGGTTTAGGGCTCCTCCACCCCTTGAACCGGTTAGACCCCCAATACACCCACTATAGGGGTGTATCGGAGGGGTCCCAGAATGATACGTATCGATCAATACGTGTTGATACTTTGAACCTTGATCCAAATATTGACAATAAAATGAACAATCCCAAATTCTAGATTCTTCTAAACAGTCACCAACTTTTTGAATAGAAGAGGTTAGGATTTGGAACTATTCGGTTTTTTATCAACGTTTGAATGGTTGATAAAGAGAATTAGATGACATTCAAAAGACATTTTTAACTTTTCAAATGCCACATTTTAAAAATTCAGGCACTGGATTATCACATTTTAACAGTTTGGATATTATCACTCGAGGCAAAGTACAGTGTACTCGAAAATTTCCCTTTTTTTTGCCTCACACGGTCACACCAACCTCACAGCGCTTTCAGTCGTGCACTGAGCACATCTCCAGTATTTGATTTTATCATTCATGGAAAGATGTTCTTAATGCACGGTTGAAATGTACTGTGAGATATGAATAGTAAATCCGATTTCAATTCAACTGATCCACCATTAGTTAGTAGTGTCCTACTTAGGAATCCCGCGTCTCCGAGGACACCATCAGTCGGTAGTGTTGTCTGGATCTGATTCTCCCCACATGTTCATTCGTGATCGGTTACGTAATCCGTTTATGCACAGCAGGGCGATCAACAGGTCCCGAGTCAAATACGTTCTGCGTAATTGATAACTCACAAAGATTCAATAGAAAGAAGGAAGAAGTCAAGATTATAAATTTGGCAGAGATTTTACTCGTCCTGACGCTCTGTTTTTCTCTTATATTCGTTTCCATGTAAAATCACAGAATTCAATACAGGAAAGAAGAGAAACGCGCATAGACACAATGACTTGGTTGAGAAACCTCATTCACGTCGGGTCATCATCGATCAATCCCAGAACCAGGAACACATCTTTGCTATTTCTACCCACATCTTTGAAGCATTTCACCTCCGAGCCAAACCTTCAAGGCTCATCTTCGAACATCCCTCGGTACTCTGGTCTCGAGCCGACAAAGCCCGATGAAAAGCCGAGGATTGTGGTTCTGGGTTCTGGTTGGGCTGGTTGCCGTCTCATGAAAGGTATCGATACCAATATCTATGACGTCGCCTGCGTGTCGCCTCGGAACCATATGGTCTTTACTCCTTTATTGGCCTCCACTTGTGTTGGGACTCTTGAGTTTCGATCGGTAGCCGAACCCATTGGAAGGATTCAACCAGCAATATCACGAGCACCAGGCTCCTACTTCTTTCTTGCTCATTGCAAGGGCGTCGATACCGATAATCATGTGGTTTGTTACTTCTTTCTTCATATTTCATTAATTTGGACAATTTTTGGTCCCTGCTGAACTGTTACTGAGCTTAATGGATGCAATTCGGGATTTCTGGTTTTAGCTCCTTGTGATTTTCTTTGGTTGCTTGACAAAAAGACTACATCGACCACGTTTGAAAGAAAAGTTAAGTAGTTAAGTAACCTAGGAAATCCACACAAAGTTTTGACTAAATAGTGCATATCTTCTAATTTACATTCTGATCAGTATTAGAAACTTGATTTATGTAACTCAATTGTTTGACATTTGTCCATATGCTTCATCTCAAAACTAATTCATCCCACCAAAAAGTTAGATAAAGAGTATTCTTGGAGAACTTCAACACTTTTGGGTACTTGTAGTTCGATTGTTTGACAATCTGCGCCGTGATTAGGTTCTGTGCATTTGATTTCAGATTATGCACAGGAAGGGGAGCAGGAAGRGATTTGACGTGGATCTGAATTAGTAGCATTTATATGCAGAATTTTTTGATTTATCTTTGAGATTTTTTGAAAATCTTTTAGTTTTTGGAATTATTGTTCATCAAGTTGTAAGAAATAGCTGTTGGGTTTCTTAAAGTGTTTATTTGGTTATGGTTAAGGTGCACTGCAAGACTATTACTGATGGAGCAAAAAACTTAGAGCCTTTGGATTTTAAGATTTCATATGATAAGTTGGTCATTGCATCGGGCGCAGAGGCTTCTACTTTTGGAATCCAAGGTGTGAAAGAAAATGCAATATTTCTTCGTGAAGTTTCTCATGCTCAGGAGATACGTAGAAAGTTACTCCTAAATCTAATGCTCTCTGATGTCCCTGGTATGTCACCGTAAAGATCTTAAATAATAAGAGCCATCATTCTATACTTCTCACTGACAATTTCTTTATTGTCCTCTAGTACATCAGGTTCATGAATCTCCTATTTCACTGTATTGATAATTTGGCATGAATGCAGGGGTTTTGGATGAAGAAAAGAAGAGACTTTTACACTGTGTTGTTGTAGGAGGTGGTCCAACTGGTGTTGAATTCAGTGGTGAACTTAGTGACTTCATCATAAGAGACGTTCATCAAAGATATGCCCATGTGAAAGATTACATTCATGTGACTCTGATTGAGGTTTGTTCCTGGAAGCTGTAAGGATTGAACTATCAATCTAAATTCTTCCTTTTGCTTTTTCCCTTTTCATTGGATCGAATTCTTTGGGTCAAACACTAGATGGATGGAATTGTCTAACTGCTTTGGTGACCCATCTAAAAATTGCTAAAACTGTGTAAGGATGAAATTGTAACTGTGATAAACTCACAATACTTCCTGTCTTCACAGGCAAATGAGATTCTGTCATCCTTTGATGATAGCTTGCGTATATATGCCACAAAGCAGTTGACTAAGGTAAGAGTTTTTCAATTTCTACAAGGTTTCAAATAATTGATGGTCATCTTCTATTAGTTCTATCATTAAGAACAATCCCTTGCAACTTGTTTGATCATAGATAAACTTCTTCATTTTTCTCTAAAACTTTGTGAAGTTTTCATTCTAGAAGAAACACCATGCATGCACCACACCCTTCTAACGTTAATTATATGTCATGTAGATTGTGGAATTAGGAATTAAAATCAGCAGTGCAGAATGATGGGGTGGTAACCTCAATAGTTACAGAGTTATGGTTAGTGACACATTTCTTACTACCCTGTTGAAAAGTTTCTCTGATTTAATCATTTGAAGTAAGTCCAACTGGAGTCCACATTAAGAATGCTGTTAAATGACAACGGCCATCCTTATATTTGACAAACTTGCACCTAGGTTACAAACTGATATTCACAGTTCAAATTACCATTTAAAATGAAGGGAAGAACTGATTTGATAGATTGACAGGTGAGAAGGGTCATTTAAGATTTATGAAGGAGAACCCAGAACTGTGACCAGTTCGGGCATTGAAGGATATTGCTCTTTATTTATTTGTGATGCAAGGAAGTTCCTAATAATGAAGATGGTGTTAATATCCACTATCTTACAACCGATTGATCTATATTAGAACCAGAGTTTTAAAAGTTTTGTGAGGTTTATGCCTCAAGGCTTGGCCTTGCAAGTTTGCAAAGTAGCTTTAAACTTCCAAATCATTTTGTTTAGGCTAAGATTTCATCTGTTTTAGCTAGCACGCTTTTAGCTTTTAGGTAATCTATGCACTTTTGGTGTTCCATTTCTTATTTTCTGATATCTGTAAAGGTTTGAAGGTAATTGGTCTGCAGTGTGACTTTTGTGACTGTGTATTGGACATAAACTCCTTTAGTTCAATTACAGAAGTACCTTTTGGTATAAGTTGATCAGTAAAGATCAATGCTTAATAATCAAGCAAAAAAAGAGGTGAATAATAAATTATGCATATTCTTCATTCTCCTTTATTATAATTGATCATTTAATCTATTATGGCCAAATTGTAACTTGAAATGATGGCTCAAATCCCTGATTTTAATTGGGTATCCGCATAACCACTTTAATTCTGTTGCATATATAAATGTATCATATTAAATGCTGTAGTAATCATTTTCTTAATACCAACACGATCATGTTAGTAGCTAGTCATGATGTGTTATATCATATTTAGTTGGGAAATGTTTCTTTTAGCATATTCTTTACAAGTGTGTTGCATTTATTTTCAGTCAGGAGTTCGTCTTGTCCGTGGAGTTGTCAAGGATGTGAAATCCCACAAAGTAATTCTCAATGATGGAACAGAGGTTCCTTATGGGTTGCTAGTGTGGTCTACTGGTGTTGGTCCCTCACCTTTCATAAACTCTTTACAACTTCCAAAAACTCAAGGTGGAAGGTATCATTGACCCTGTGGAGCTGCAGTTATTTCTAGATTTCACTACTTCCTTATGTTAACTCTCTAAAGATTCTATTTGAATAAAGAATTTATATGCTTTGGAGTTTTTTATATATGATACTTTACTTCTATGTTGACAGGATTGGTGTAGATGAGTGGTTACGAGTTCCTTCTGTGCAGGATGTGTTCTCAATTGGTGATTGTAGTGGGTTTCTTGAAAGTACTGGAAAACCAGTACTTCCAGCTCTGGCTCAGGTTTGTTATGAAAAACTTAAACTCGTTATGATTTCTACTCCCTAGTTGAGATGCTAAAGTCCAAAGATGAATTAACTATTTTTTTTTGGTTGATATAATTGCATTTCACAACATGGTCCAATAGGGTATGCATTCATGAACTTACTGATGGTTCTGAACCAAAAGGTCAATTTTTTTTGGTAATAAAATAAAGTTTATTGAAAAAAGAAAAAAGAAGATACGAAGGAGGTGACCAGCAGTCACCCGAAAGAAGAAATAAAAACAAAGCTTCCCTAAATAAACAAGACTACAATGAAGAACAAAAACCCCTCTCAATACACCCTTATCAACCCAAACAAAACAAAGAAAAATATCTCCCAACTTCAGCAAAGATAATGATCACCCACAATCAACTCCCGTGCCGTGGCATTCCAAATCACATAAAAAATCCACCAGAAACGCCAACTCCCTTTAGAACCCTCCCAAGTACAATTTTGGTCCCCCCAAACCCAAAGAAAATCATCTCAAGCCAAAATGCCAACTTCCCCCATGGTTTGAACTAGATCTAATTTGTTCCTCTTGCTAGTTCCTCTTGGCTTCTTTACCTTCTTGCTGGGCCCAATCCCGAAAAATCCATCTTTTAGAATGGCAAAAGCTTTCATTGCTCTGACAGTTTGATTATCTCTTCGATTCCTGAATCTTCTTACCATACTAGAGATACTGTTGGATTCTGTCATACCCTGGAGTGCATTCATTGATTCTTTTAACTCCAAAATTGCATTCTTCTCGGAAGTTTTGATTGCACTTGGCTCACTCTTTTCTTCGTCAAGACAATTTTTTCACCTTCTGACAGTCTAGAATGTAGAGATTCTCCGATTTTTTCACTCTTTAAATGTCCAAACTCTTCCAATCTTTTCTCCCTTGGACAATGAATTGTTAGGGCTGGGGATTCACCTTCTGTTCTTTTAATATAGATAGCTCAAAAATGGGTAGAAGTGTTATGTTCTCATGTCTCATACAGGTGTGAAATTAATTCAGATCAATGTTTCAAAAAACAACCCGGAACCGGAACCGTTCTGGCCACCGGTTTCTGGGTCAACGGTTCGACCGTCTGGTTTGAACGGATGGCCTGTTCTGACAAAAAATTAAAATAAAATGGCCAAAAYCATTGAACGGGTCGATGGTTCGACCGTCCGGGTCGACGGGTCACTGACCAATTCAACAGTTTTGGCAGGCACCGGGTTTGGGGTAAAACGGAACTGGTTGCCTGGACAGTTCCCAGGCCGAGCGGTCTGACTGTCTGGGTCAACGACGGTTCGAAAACATTGATTCAGATAGCTGGTAAATGATAACAAGCATATAGGGTCTGATGTTCAGTTATCCCTTAAATATGAGTGGGAGAATCATATTGTTCCACAGTCTAGCACTTAATTTGATGGTTCATAATCAAGTGTGAATGATTCTAATAGATTAAGATATTTCTAAATTTGGATTAGAAATTTAGGAGTTATATCATGCAGGAGGAACCTGGGTCCCTAGGATCCATGTGAAATAGTCAATTCATAAGATTGTTATCAAACTATCAATAACTTACCTTTCTTGCTTACTTTCTTTTTAATAAACTGAGACTGAGAGGGGCAGGAAGAGTGTGAGAAGTACAGTACACAAATTTGTCAACTGAAATGAACAATCTCAGAAAAGTCCCCAGTTCACTTTTTGATTGATTACATCATCTAGCTGTAGCCACTTTCGTTGACTTCACAACGAAAGTGCCTGTTTGAGAGGGATTTCATACAGCGGCTTCCAGATTTGCAAGATGGACCCCACACACAAAGCCTATAGACTATGCTTGGTGAAAAACCTGGAAAGCCCCAATATGCTTTCATTCAGCCATAAAACCAACTTTCTGGTGAAGCTAGTTTTGTAGCTTCTTCAAAGTGGCTCAGTGAAAGCAGCTCAATCAAAGCTGAAGCCCTCCCAAACGGGCAAAATGTTATCAAAGTAGGCTTTGGGCTGCAGGCTGTATGGAAGTTGTTGGTAGCACCTCAAGTAGCATCCRATGAAACATTAATAGGTAGCTGTGCCTAAATATGGATGGGGCTAATTTCGAAGAACAATGAATTTCTTAAATATCAAATGTGTCCTTTTCATTGTAAGGTAGAGAACAGCACCTATTAGATTTTAAAAATAGACACAATTAGGTTATGAACAAATTTTCTTGTTCTTATTATGATTTATGAGGATAGAATGATCAATACCAAGATGGCAAGACTACCCAAAGAGAGAGCCAGATCACAAAACATACGCTAATAATTTCAGGTCTTTACATTAGCACTGGACAGTGGAAACGAGAATGATAAAGTACAAGATATTTAGAGACAAATTACTAGAGGGAGGTGGAAATTGTAAGAATAACCTAACGTTATGATCAGTTAGATGGTTACTGTGTTGAAAGAGGGGCTATGGAGGTTCTTAGAGAGAAAAAGGCAATTATCTAGTAGAACCTGTTGATGAATTAAGTTCAATCAATTACCAAAAACAAGGTTTAATTGGGTACTCTAAACTAGAAAAAAAAAGTTAAAAGTGCTAGAAAGGAACCAAAAGAACCAGTAAGCGAAGCTTAGCTTAAGACTTATGGTGATCTTTCTTATAAGTTGGGTATAAAGAAAAGGAAAAGGATACTAAGAAGCTTACAAGGATAAATGGTAGGTTCATTTTGATACATTAGAAGCAAGGAATATGGAATTTTTATAAGGGTTTTATTAAGAGTGATGATAGCTAAGGGAAGTTAGAGCAGCTACTTTTTGTAGATTATTAAATGAACTACACTTAGTTTTCAAGTATAAAAGGAAAATAGTAGCTCCATTGAGAATCTGAAATTGGACATAATAGGTATCTATGTATAACTAGGGTCTGTAAAGTTAAAAAGGTTTGATGAAGATGAAATTGGAAAGGCATTATTCCAGGTACTATCCCTATAAAAAGTTTGAATGCATTGGTAAGCTTGACTTGCCTTAGGCTGATAAGCTGCTGAACCAAATTATGAAGACAGATGGAAAATGAATGGAAGGAGAAAACTATGCTAGTAAGGGAGGTATATGATTGTCGTGGGGAAAGCTTATACTCTACACTGTGAAATGCTGTAAAGGAGCAATTATCAAAAGAAAATTTTGTAAAGGAGCGGTTGAGCAAAGAGTAATAGATGAAACATCAGTCTGAAATCCTAGTATGTTTATCTGAAAGATGAGACATCAAAAGTCCACAACCATGAGAAATTCAAGGAACTCAACAGATGTATGTGTCAGTGATGGAAGCAGTTGGCAAATCCAGACTGTAATTAGTCCAATTCTTGATGTAATTTAATGAAAAAAATACCAGAGAAGAAGAAGAAGAAGAAAGAAAGAAAGAAAGAAGAGAGAAGAGAAAGATGAGAGAAAGAGTGATGGCTTTAGTTGCCACCCCACTCAGCTATTTATAATAACATCAAAATATAAGATGGCAATTACATTAATGCCCCTACTGCTTACATAAGCAAATAACTAATAAAACTAACATTGCTAACAGCAGCCTAACAACAAATATAAAGTGGGAACTAACTAACAACAGCAGTGCTGGGACCACAATAAATAAAATAACAGCACTAATTATTGCTCTACATCTCTACACTAGATATTTATCATTCCCAACTTGCGTAAATCTGTTTCCAACTTGACCCATGTAACTTCCTTGGTGAAGAGATCAGCAAGCTGCATATCAGAGGCAATATATGGAAGACACACTTCTTGAGAGGCAACTCTCTCCCTAATAAAGTGTCGATTCACCTCAATATGTTTAGTTTTGTCATGCTGTACTGGATTGTGGGCAATGTTAATAGCAGCCTAATTATCACAATATAGCATCAGAGGCTTCTCATAAGCAATTCCTGGTTTCTCAAACAAGGACCTCAACCATAATACTTCAGCCACACTATTTGTCATAAATTTGTATTCTACTTCAACACTGGAACGTGCTACAATATTTTGTTTCTTACTCCTCTAAGAGGCAAGGTTGCCTCCTACCAAGGCACAATACCCAGAAGTAGACCTCCTATCATCAACACACCCAGCYTAATCAACATTTGTGTAGACTTTTATCTTCATGTGACTATTATTTTTGAAGAGTATGCCTCTGCCTGGACATCTCTTTAGGTAAAAAAGGATCCTCTCAACTGCAAGAAGGTGAGTGGTTTTGGAGGAATGCATGTGTTGGATAACTACATTGACTGCATAAGAAATGTCTAGTCGGGTGAGGCACAGATAAAATAGTTTTCCTACCAACCTCTGAAACATGTCTTCAAGGGGCTGTCCACCTTCAGTTCTAATCTTGTGGTTTTGTTCAATGGGTGTGTCAGTTAGTTTAACACCTAGCTTTCCAGTTTCCTCTAGAAGATCAAGAACATACTTCCTTTGGGAGACAAAAATCCCATGTTTGGACCAGGTTACTTCAATACCCAAGAAATAATGCAGTTCTCCCAAGTCTTTGACTTCAAATTCTTGGTGAAGCAGTTGTTTAAGAAAGTCAATCTCATGGGTATCACTCCCTGTCTCCACAATATCATCCACATAAACAACAAATAGAGTCAAGGAGGAGTCTGTTTTCTTAATGAAAAGAGTGTGATCTGATGAATTTTCCAAGAGCTAGTCTAAATCTATCAAACTATTCTCTTGGTGATTGTTTCAATCCATATAAGACTTTATTCAACCGACTGACCTTCTTCCCTGCTTCTATATTGTAGAATTCGAGAGGTAACTCCATGTATACCTTCTCTTGCAAATCACCATTGAGGAAGGCATTTTTAATATCCATTTGGAACAATGGTCATGAGAAATTTGCTGCAATGGACAATAAAACTCTGATAGTGTTCATCTTGGTTACCGGTGCAAAAGTCTCCAAGTAGTTTATGCCATAAGTCAGTGTGAACCCCTTTGCAACTAATCTGGCTCTCAACAGAGYCATCAACATTATGTTTCACTGTAAGCACC